AATAATAATAATAATAATAATAATAATAATAATAATAATAATAATAATAATAATAATAATAATAATGATAATAAAATAATAATAATAATAATAATAATGAAAATAATAATGCTAACGATAGTAATGAAAATGATTATGTTAATGGTAATAATGGAAATAATAATGATAAAGATAATAATAATAATAATGAATGAATCGAATAGAAAAATCAAAGCACAAATCCCACATCTAAAAGACCGAACAAACGCCCTCTACTTTAAAATTTACTCGAGAAATTGATAATTTGAGTTCATCTATGTAATACTTGTAAGTATCTATCACTAAGTTTACATTTTACTCGTATGTAAAGTTAACCCAACATCGAGGACTTCTTTGTGTGTTTTTTCTAAGTTCTTTTTTTTTCGCTAAATTACTTATTACATTATTACTTACTGTTCCTTGTTTCAAGACTACTTAAAGGGCGTGAAGGAAAATCATATATCTACTATCATATATATGAATTTTCTGTCGTAAAAGCGAAATAAAGATGAAAATACAAAAATCCGCTTACAGTGCCATCTAGGAAAAAGAAAACTAACTATAAAACATGCGCGCGATAATCTAAGCTATTGCCTTATCCTTACCTTTAATTGTAGTGCCTCCGATGGCCAGCTCCCACGATCCTATCACGTCCTGGTTGGTCTCCTGGATCCTCTCCACCTCCGCCTCTCCGCCGGCGATGCTGAAGGAGGCTCTGCTGGCTGTGCGAAGTTCCTCCATCCATGTGGCGTTCACTAGCGACGCGAGAGGAAACACAGCGTTCACAGTGAGGTTTTGATACGTTATCGGATATCAGATGTTGACTATTCTAAATACATGTAAATTGGAATTATATCCTCTTCACTCTCTCCGCATTATATCTTATGAACGAAAAGAACTCACAGGAATCCGAAACTAGTCCCAGAAGAGGGTATTTCCCAGCGCAGTTGGCCGATTGGAGAGTGAGGTTAAACGCGCGCCTGTTTCCCTCGCCACGTGTCACTCGCACTTCGGAGACTAGAATTCCCAGACTCTCGAGGACGGAGGGACGCTCGGCCTCGACTGTGTACGAAGAGATTTCAAGAAGTTAGAAATCAGTAATCCTGAGGTTTATTTGCGGAAGAATGGGTGTTCGTGTTTATCTGTGCGTAATCATTAACAACAAAAAAGTTAAGATCAAAATAAAATGCTCAATAAAGCACATCACAAGCACACGAACACGCACGCACGCACACACACACACACACACACACACACCACACACACACACACACACACACACACACAACACAACACACACACACACACACACACACACACACACACACACACACACAACACACAACCATACTTTTAAAAACAAAGATCTGCTGCAATACTAACCATACAAAGGTTCACTAACAAAAGCGACCTCATCCACGTAAAGGGTTTCATGAACAGCCTCTTGTTCAGGAACTTCCACCTCAAACAACTTGATCCATGAACCCTTCTTGATAAATCTCTTTAATCGGGAATTCATGGCCATTTCTTGCAGGTTCAAGCACTGGTAGCTCCATCTAGATTTTAAGGAAAAATATAAACAAAATAAGGATAATGGATGTTGATTCGTTTTAGGTATTACTGTCATAATTCGTTTTTTTTATATGTTTTGCGAGTTGAATAGTGTCGCATAATTGCTCTGAAGAGATATTTATGAACAAATATATTTATTAGTTTCCAGGATTTTGGCAACATTGACAAACATGCATTTATTTTTCATATTCATACTATAAAAAAAAACTTACTTGTCTCGAGCAAAACGGGCACTGTGCTCCAAGGTAAGACCGATGTTTTTGCTTCTGTTGTAAGTATCCTGATAATTAACTTTGATTCTGAGAAAGTTCTTTGCGTTCCCGCGGAGAGCGAAGCACATCTGAAGAAAAAAAAAAGTATATAGACAGTGTAAGTAACCGCAAGGAATTTTTTTTTGGGGGGGGATTATCGAATCCACACAAACGACCAAATCTTTTTTTTTTTGAAATTGTGCGTGAGTAGATCAAAGATTTCGATCCCGTGTATGAAAGATATTTGTATTAAACATTTCGTGACCATACGGTAATCGACAAATCTGGATTTTCCTGAACAATTTTGTTATTATTCTGCTCCTTTTCCGTACACTCAGAAGGACTTTGTTAATAAACGTATTAAGAGGTTCTCGAAAGTCTAGGTACAATTTCTGTGGTCAGTTCTAGCCGCTTGTATATGGGGAATTAATAGTTTTAGCTCTTATATATATCCGTCAATATAATAATATCGCTGATAATAACAATTCTGGTGATGGCGTTGTTGATGATGATGATGATGATAATGATAATAATGGTGATGATGATGATGATAATAATGATGATGATGATGATAATGATGATGAATAATGATGAAATGTGATAATGATAATGATGATGATAATGATGATGATGGATGATGATGATAATGATAATGATGATGATAATAATGATGGTGATGATAATGATAATGATGATGTGATGATAACGATGATAAGGATGGCCACGATTCTGAGACACTTACATATGGCGTCTTGAGTAGATCAACCTTAGTCTGCCGCTTCCTGCTTGAGTACAAATATTTGCCCGTCACTTGCGCCGAAAACCTGAACAAAAATATCAATTGAGACCGGAAAAAAAATTCGACTGACGGTAATAGAACGAAATAATAACTTCTTTTTGTCTTTATGATTAAAAAAAAAAAAAAAAAAAAAAAACAACAAGATTTACCCTCCTCTAGGCAAATTAGGCATGCTTATCATAAAAGGATGAAAACGTTTACTGGAAAGAAATTCTCTCTCTGGCTCTCTCTCGATCTCTCTCTCTCTCTCTCTCCTCTCTCTCTCTCTCTCTCTCTCTCTCTCTCTCTCTCTCTCTCTCTCTCTCTCTCTCTCATCTGTCTCTCTCTCTCTCCCCTCTCTCCCTCTGCTCCCTCTCCTCTCTC